TATCATGGCATTAGTCGCGGAGCTGCCTCTGGAGTGCAGATACCCCAGTTTTACTGCCTCCCTTTGTAGCATTTTGTTTTCCATCTCCAGGTCTCTGGGGAGCAAAGGCGGGCGGAGTTGCTGCCTGGGGGAGGTGCGTGGACTCAGCAGGGCTTTCACGGTGGCCCCACCTGGGGCAGAGGTAGAGGCAGCAGAGCACAGGACACCCCCGGAAGGTCTCCACCCTTGGCCCTACTTCTCATTGGAGCACCTGGGGAAAGAGTTATTTCCTTTTCTGCCCTCATTTCGTCCCCCTGGTCACAGTGGAGGAGAAAACCCCAGCCCGCCACTGGTGTGCCTTTGACAACCGAGGCCAGCTCGCCTTCCTTTCTCACAAAGAGGACGCAGATCTTAGGCTAAGAGCCCTGGGCAGGATACAATGTCACTGCTTGTTCTGTTCTGTTTTTGTTGTATTTCTTTTCACTATCATTTGCTAAGTATTGTAACTGATGGTGTTAGTTTTCCAATTTCAGAAATGTTAAGGATTTAAGTTAAAAAAGTGAACTAGTTCAGAGAAAACTAATATGCAAAGAGCTGTCTGGGTAGATATGTTGGGGAAATTTCAAAGTTGGTTCATGCATGACTGAAAATTGGGAAATAATTTCTTATTTAAGAAGCCTGCTGGACTGTAAGGTTCTTAAGGCCGTCGAAATTGTGTTATTTTTTCAATACACATACACACACACACACACACACACACACACACACAGAATCTCATGAGAATGCTGTACCCTTAGGGAGAGAAAGAAATGATATCTGACTACCTGGCCTACTGATAAAGGTCAATTAGATAGTCTAACAATTTTTCTTCGGAAGAATATTGGAAAATTGCTTTCAGAGGTAGAGGATGAACCAAAGATGATGAATCTTATAACTGTGCATCGTTATCATATAGTTTACCCCAAATATTCTTATCCAACACCATCACCTGCCTAACTTTCCAGACTTGCTTCTGTTTAGAAAAATCAAATATGACCTTTAAGATGAATACTTATCTCCCTCGGGGAAAGAATTCATTATAAGCTCTGAGGTATACAAGAGCTGTGCTGCGAACCAAAAGCCATTGAGCCAGGAACAGAAGAGAAAAATACCATTCCTGAGTTGGTCTCTCCGGGTCACTCCTTGGGATTGACACTTTCAGAGCCTTGCCCCTAAACATAAAAGCCGATGCCACATGGAAAAAATTGGTTTTTCCACGTTGGATGGAAATCTTTCTAGATCACAAGTGAGTATATTGTAAAGCTTAGGTTTGAAACCAAATCTGTTGGACCATCAACTCTCTGCCCTACAGGGATATGTTAAAGACCACTGGGTCTAATTTTTATAGTTTACATGACTCCTTCCTCACTGTAAGACTCAACTGTCATTTCTCTTTTGACTGTGAAAGATTTTTTTTTCTTATTTTGCATTTCTCGCCTGTGTCATACATAAGACTAATGGAGGGATCTAATTTATTGAAGGGACATAATTTATTGAGAGTGGGCTCCAAGTAGGCAGCAGAAGATTCAATAATCATAATCATAGTGATTTCATGCAGCCAAACTCAAAATAGAACTTTGGAGATGGAAGATCGTGGCATTTGGTAGAAGTTTTGCTCCATGGCCCTGAATTCAACTACATAATTATGTTGTCTGTGTCTTTTAGCAGAATAGAAACGAGAATGAGGAAACATCTTTTGAAAGTGGAGTGACTTATATTTGGAATTGGCAGGGACCAGCTTCATTCGCTGGAGGAGAGGGTCATGGGATGTCAGAGCTGAAAGGCACCTTAGAGATGATGTTAGTGCATCAGGTCCATCAAGCGATGAAGACAATGAGACTTAAAGAAGGGGCCTGTCCATAGGTCTATGAGTTACTCTGCTATTGCCATTGATTAAAGTGTGGCACAGTTTTAAACATACACGGTATTAAATGCACATCAATTATAAACAAGAAAATTTAGCCTTCAAAGCAAATAACCATGTGTTATTTTCATCTGTTATGGAGTGGATGAAGTTGGTGGGTGGGGAACATGCCAATGTGCTGCCCAAACATATGCCTGGGTTCTTGTTTCTCTTACACTCAATGAAAGGCTTCTGGGTCCAGATAGAATGGGCAAAGTGGTAGAGCAGATGTCCAGGGGCAAAAATATGGGCATCTCGTGCCCATTAGTTGTAAACAATTTTATCCCCAACAGAATCATAATGTTCTGGAAGGGCAGGTGTCTTCCCCAGATGTTTGAAGGGGATGAAGACTTCCCTTTGTAGCAGTTGAGGAGGGGCTGGCCTCGTGGCTTCAAAGGGGCCAGATGTGGCTTTGGCACCATCTGTACATTCTCCGGATGTTTGTCCATAATAAATGTGGTCTCTGCGATGGTAAGCTCCCAGAGAACAAGAACCATCAGCTTCCCTTGGTCTGCCTGACCACCAGCGAGTGGCCTGCAGTCCGGAGGCAGGAAGGTGGGGTGAGGCACCCAGACACCAATGCTCCCCCCAGTCCTGCTCCAAGAAAAGCGCTCGCCCAGGTGCCCTCTGAGGTTGTGCCGGCACATGTGCAGAAACCCCCATGTGTTCCGCCTACAGGGCAGCGTGTGGGGAGGCCCCTCCGAGCACGGGGAGCACAGCACTGCACGCAGCATTGAGAATCTCATTCCTTCAAGCAGCGCCCTCATTAAACAGGGTGTTCTTGCCAAACAAGTTAAATTTTCCCCATCATAATTTTAGCTCTATAAATGTATTTCTGAGGAAAACTAAAGAACAGCTTTCTCTGGGGACCTTTTAGATGTTCCAGCACCCCCCGGAAGTGGTGGCTCTGGTATAATTTTACACGGAAAAGGGGGTTGGACCATACAATTCTCTAATGGTTCCATTGAGCCCAAGGAACCTAAGACTCCACAATCCTTAAATAGATTTAGAGGGATTCTGGGATCTTGCCCTTGCCATGTCCCAAGACCCTGCTCAGGGAACTGCCATCTCATTGAGCCTTAGCTCACCAACTATGGCACCACCTAGGTCTTGAGGTGTTTGTGATAAGACCAGAGTCAGTCTGTTTGTGTAGAAAAACAAATATATGCACACACACACATACACACACACACACACACATATATATATATATATATATATATATATATACACCTAAGAGAACTTGTTTCTTTAAAGAACACAATGGGGCCAGGCACAGTGGCTCATGCCTGTAATCCTAGCACTCTGGGAGGCTGAGGTGGGTCAATCGCTCAATGTCAGGAGTTCAAGACCAGCCTGAGCAAGAGTGAGACCCCGTCTCTACTATAAATAGAAAGAAATTAATTGGCCAACTAAAAATATATATAGAAAAAATTAGCCGGGCATGGTGGTGATGCCTGTAATCCCAGCTACTCGGGAGGCTGAGGCAGGAGGATTGCTTGAGCCCAGGAGTTTGAGGTTGCTGTGAGCTAGGCTGAAGCCATGGCACTCTAACCTGGGCAACAGAGTGAGACTCTGTCTCAAAAAAATAAAAAATAAAAATAATGAACACAATGGCAGACCATCTTATAACATACGCTGGTGACAGTCTTCTTTCAAGACACAGCCTGAAAGAAACTCCTCTGTTTCTGAAGCCTTCCTTGACTGCCTCCAAACTCCTGACCTTTACTATTCTGAATTAGAATAGTTTTCGCCACAGTAGAGAGCACCCAGTTACATGGAGTCTATTTTGTGTCCCAAACTAAGAATCTAAGCTCTGAGCAGACACTGGCCATTTCATATATATCTTTCTTTGAATGCCTTACCCATAAGAATGACAAGGTAAAGGCCATGGTATTCCCTGCAAGTCCTCCTGCAGTGTAGACAGTGTTATTCCTGGTTATGTAGCTTGGAGCCCGGCTCTCTGGCCCTTAAAGAATACTACTCTGTCAGCTGCTTTATTCTTAAATAAATTCCTTTACTGCTTAAACTGGCCAGAGTGAATCCCAATGGCTGCAACTAAGAGCCTTGGGCAAACATGAAGAAATACAGCTGGAAAGAAAGAGGTTAAATGAGTGCCTTTATTGGAGGACTTTTCAGAACCACCAATGTAATGTGCCTAGTAAATATCTCAGAAAGTGTGTCACAGAATCTTCGACTAACCTTATGAGGACTGTCTGATGATTACACCCAGGATGGCCAATCTTTAAAGTGGTTTGCAAAGACCCTGGGCCTGGAACAGATTGTCCATTTCGTCCTCCTACAGAGAATGGACGAGGCCTATCCGAGTTACCCCGCGCACCTCTGTTCCCCAGCGCTCTGCTGCTGGGCTGGCTGAAAGCAGCCCCTGAAACTGAGCCTTTTTTAAAACCACAAAGCAATAGAAAGGAAAAGCAGAAGGTTACATTTTTCTTTGACCTGCAAGTTGATTTTAGCTTATCCTTTTCTTTAGGTCTGGTACCTGTGAGTCAGTGTTTATTTCACGGCTATCTCCATGCCAAGCCTGCCTGACTGAAAAGAGCCGTCTGAAATGTGCAGGGAGCCCTGGGGGCGGGGCGGGAGAATCCACAGGGGAGCGACCCCTTCCGTGTTTCACCGACTATTCATCCTGCCCCTCCTACGATTATATATTACACATTTTCTTTTCAGAGATCTTCCTAAATAATTCCATGATGTTTCAAACCTTCATATTCATCTATCCACCATACTGAAAGTCTCTTTTACTCATTCACTGGGAGGACAAATAGCATTAAAAATATTGCACACTCTGGGGTCCAAGAGATCTAACTCCTAGCTCTGTCATTTATTAGTTATGTGTATTCAAGCAAAGAATAAATCATCCTGAGCCCCAAATATCTCAAACGAGGTTAGCAAATAAGGCCAGTGGCAGGTGGAGGGGTTGCCCCATGGTGAAAGCTATTGGAAATAGAGGAATAAATAACCAAGCTACCTAAGAAGAGGTGAGGCCATGGAAATCCTGCTGCAAGTCTGGGCAAGCCCCTGGCAGGGAGGGGAGAGGCGAGGAGAGTCCGTTACTTACGGGACTCCAATCTCAAAGATGTTATTCTGGATCAGCTGCTTCCCCAGCATGATGATGCTAAGCTGGATGCAGAGCTCCATGAGGCAGCCCCCTGGAGCACACTGCGGGCAGGAGAAGATAAAAAAAGGGCCAGTTAGACTGAGTGGAGCTCACAGAAGCAAGGGCATGCGTGCGGCCATGCTGTGACGGGGACAAGAGTGGGGCTGGGGCTGCACCTACAAACCACTAGTCAGGCACGAAACCCAGTGGCTGTACTTGCCTCTTCCATGCGGTAACCATCGAACACATAGACATAGCTTCCAGGCCTGCCCACAAACCTGAAATCAGACAGTTGGGAAGAGTTAGGGGGACAGAGCATGCAGGGCTACCTGGGGACCCGTCTTCTGGGGGAAACAGCCGCTAAGAATGTCCTCCTTGAACCACTGGCCAGTGGGTGCTAGCTCACTCAGGAACAGGAGCTTGTGGGCTAGCAACCACCTATACCACCCATGGTTCCCTTCTTAACTCAGTCAGATTCCAGGGGATGGGGGTGAGCTGGGCAGGGGCTGAGGCTGGGCCTGGTGTGGGGCTGTGTGTGTGTATGTGTGTGTGTGTGTGTGAGTGTGTGTGTGTGTGTGAGATAACTTCTGATTTAAGCACAATGAAGTCTAGATTATCTCTAAGTGTATTGTCTGTGCGCCTTCTTCCTCAATTCGTGTGAAGAACTGGGTTCTGGTTGCAGCTCCTTAGTGATGGCTTCTGATTCCCAGGAAAGGAAGGATGAAAAGGACTAAAGTTGTAAGTAGAGATTCCTGGGATCAGAAAACAAAAAATCCTGATTTTTTACTGCAAATATTCAAAGGAATGGAGGAGACCTGCATTATTCCTCTTCTAAATGGAGTCTATTTTATTCGGGGACAATAAGACCAAGCAGGTGGGCAAAGCAGAGAGGTAAAAGCCAACCATGGTGCCAGACAATCAGAAGAATCCTGCTCACATGCAACGGCATCCCCTCCACACCTGCTGAAACCCTACACGGCCACTTAAGCCTCAGCATTAATCTTTCCTTCTCTGAGGTCTTCTTGCTGTTTCTGTTCATAATCGTTCCCCCAACACTTCCTTATACCTCTTATCGCAGCACTTACTGCACATTTAGTGCGCTGTTGCTAAGACTATGTCTTCCAATATTCTATGGTGCAGGTACGGGTCAGGATCTGCCCTCCTGTTTTGCCTAGACTATCACATGTATGTAATTTGCTGTTGCTATTAAGTTTAGATAGAACGTGTCAATGAAGTAGACATTCATTAACATGGGCAGTCTCCCTGCTACTATAATTCTTGACAGCCAAGGGCAGAAGCATTCAGACGGGGTCAAAAACACCCCTATAAGAAACTGCCAAATGTGAATGAGCCAGTTCTCTCTATCAATGCCTGCTTAATGAGCTTTTAGTTCTAGGGAAGCATTCTTGATATCGTTGGTAGATGTCTATTGGGAAATCTCCTTGTAGGTAGCCAACCGGCCTGACCACAAAACACAATTTATAAGTGATTTTTACATCCAGAACTATTGTATAATGAAGAATTTTATTCGCCCCTGTTCATGGTTCCTGAGTGGAGCCTCTAAATCCTTGGACTTTCCAGAGTGACAGGAGTGTCTTTGTTATCCAGGGTAGGCCCTAGGACTATACCTAAATTTATGCTAATGAGATTACTCAAGAAGGGGCAAGTCATGCCAGAAAGATCAACCACTTTGCTTGGGCTTCGAGCCATGTAATTGCAGCCTGACCTTAGGGCACTAGAGATTGAGTCCAGTTATAAAGCAAATGATCTAATCAATCATGCCTAAGCAATGGAACTCCAGTAAAAACTCTGGACACTGCTGCATGAGTGTGCTCCCTGGGTGGTGACACACATGGATGTGCTGAGGACGTGGAAACTTCATGATCAAGACCCCCCCCCCCAAACCTTCACCTACATGCCATTTCTATTTGCTAGTTTAGATTTATACCCCTTTACTACTATAAAACTTTAGTTGTAAGTGTAGCACATTTCAGAGTTCTATGAGTTATTCTAGTGAATTATCAAACCTGGTGGGGTAGTAGGAACCCCAGAATTTATAGCCAGTGGGTCCACTGCCCACTGGGAATGGGAACCCCAGAGCATGCGACTAGTGTCTGAAGTGAGGGCAGTCTTGTGGAGAACTGTGCCCTTAACCCATTAACTCCTGGCAGTTAGCATCAGAATTGAACTGCAAGACCTAAGAGCCACTGGCTAGACATGAAATTCCCTCCCGCCTTATCCTCAAAGTTGGGAGACACCAATTCTCCTAAGATTCTCCCTTTAGGGTCCAGAACCAAATCCCTATAAAGTTTCCCTGGTTATCAGGATCTGAAGATGCTAATTCAAAGTTATACAGAGCTAACATTCCTGCTTCGTGAGCAGCCAGGTGGAAATGGGGTGGAGAATGGGACTAAGGGTGTGACAATGGGGACGGGCTGACCCTACTTGTCCTGACAGTGGAGGACTCGGTCTCAGTGACAAATTGCCTTTCCATGTGTGACACCATTATACTCACCTCCCCTTGAAAAAGGCCACATAGAAGATGGGGGAGTAGGCATTGACAAACTTTAGCAAGAAAGCTTTGAGTATCAAGCGCTCTTCAAAACTCTGTTCTGTTTTCGGAACCTCTGCAAGAGAAGAGCAAAGTTGATGAGACTGAGGTGAGATTTCTTACCTCTCCAGAGTTTTGACCTTGACCTGAACTACTGTCTCTCATTTGACTCCTTCATAGTAGAAACCAAGAGATCCAATCTCTTGGCATATTAGAACTGAATTCTTCTGGGAAGCCCCAGGTGGTTTTCCAGGTAATGTGAGGCTACAGAAGGCAAAAGGCCTGTGGGGTCACCACCTTTCTCCTTCCACCTGTCTCTTCTTGTCCACTCAAGCAGTGGTTTCACACTGTGCCCTGAAAAGAGGGGCCTGAGCAGGCAGAGCTTCCACAACTGCCCTTACTTCCTTCATCAAGGGGAACTCAGCTTCACCTAAATAATTTCCACTTCACAAGAGTTTGCTTGAACAAAGATCCCTAAATAAAAAGGCTTGTTAGCCAGTGAACTAGAATTAAGAGGGCACCATGGCACTGTTGCTCTTTCTCCCTTCCTTCATTTTCAGCAGGAAGGCATTCATCCACCCATCCTCTGGGGAGCTGAAACATCTGTCTGCTCACTCAAACGATGAAGGCCCATCAGATAAGGTCAGTGAAACAAGCACAGCCTGAGCCTAATGTCCCAGACTCACAGGCCACAGACCCAGTGTGTTCCACCAGGTCCAAGCAGAAGAGTCAGCTGACATGCTTAGAAGGACCCTGAGACCCTCTGAGCAGGAGCCTCACAGGTGCCTTCAGAAGACTCGAGCCACAGGGGAAGCGCCAGGGTCAACTGTGCAGGAGGCGTGGGAGGGGCTCACAGACCTTGACAAGTGGCTTGATAACCAAGGTAAGAGGTTACGGGGTGCTCTTAGTCCATGTGGGCTGCTATAATAAAATACCACAAACTGAGAAGCCCATAAAACCAGAAGTTTCTTTATCACAATTCTGGAGGCTTAGGAGTCCACGACCAAGGTAGAGTCGGTGTCTGGCGAGGGCCTGCTTTCTGGTTCCTGGATGGCATCTTCTCACGGTGTCCTCCATGGTGGAAGGGGCGGGGCATCCCCCTCGGGTCTCTTATAATCCCACTTATGAAAGCGCCGCCCTCGTGACCTAACCAGTTCCCGAAGGCCCCACCTCCTAATAAACATCGCCTTGTGGGTTAGAATTTCAACATAGGAATTTTGGGGGACACGCACATGAGGCTCATGGCATAGAACCGCACTCTTCAGAAGCAGGAAAGCGCCGCCCCTGTGTCACATGGACTGAGAAGCACAGCCTGAGCGTGTGCTGAGCACAGGAGCATGATGCCGCGGCCGGCTGGCCGGGGAGCTCTGTGTCCAGATGAGGCCAGTGTGTGAAGCCGTCTGATGTATGTACACACAGCTTTTGTAGGACCACTGAGGAAATGGACACGAAAACCTGTTCTCTCCCCTAAAATGCACTTCCCTGACCCATCTCCTCAAGTGAAGACCCTTTACACCCTTCTCCAAGTCAAATCTCCTTCCTGAAGCTTTCCCAGATGCTTCAGCTGGCAGCAATTCTTTTCTGGTTTCTTCCATAGTAATTTATATCTCCCTGATGACCTACACCCACGCGCTTTGAAAATTAACAATAACAGTAGCTATCACTGATTGCCTATGTCCGTCTGTTGGGATCCCCCTAAGTCAGGATCCCCCTAAGTAAGGATTTAGGAGTAAGTAGTTAACTTGGGAGGTGCCCCCAGGAAACTTGGTGGGGGGAGCTGGGATGGTGACGCAGAGAAGTAGGGACCCAAGACGAATATGCTCACGAGCAGGTTAGTGCTGCAGTCAGCCGGGGCTCCATCCCACTGGGTCCTCCTCAGGGACCATGCGACACACATCCCAGAGTCAGCACCCTGAGCGGGGAGCAAGCAGGAGCCCCTCATTGGCTGAAGGTCACTGTCAGGTCCACTCCTTGGCACTTCCAGCCTGCCCTGTGTACGGGCTGAGCCTGCTCCCACGGCCAGAGGACGCCCGCAGGCAGTGTGCTGCAGGAAGCCACTGGTGTGGGCAGGAACTATCTGAAGGTGACCGCCAGGCGGGCAAGGGGATGGGTGTGCAGCACGAGAGCACCAGGTCCCACCTGCTCTACAGAGGCCACTGTGCACAGGCGTGCAGCTCTGTCATCTCACTGCAGCCTCGCTGCCCTGTGCAAGGAAGGTGTGATGTTTCACTTTATAGATGACAGGAACTGAGGCCCAGAGAGGTTACAGCCTTGCCCAAGATCGCACAGCAAGTAAGTAACAGAGGTAAGATTTGAACCCTGATCTGCCTGCCTCTAAAGACAGTTTTGCTACACCGCACTTTGAAATCAGAGTGTTCAATCCATCATGGATTGCGCCACACACACTCTTTCACCTCCTTACCCTCCACCCCCAACTTAACCCGATGCACCTACGAAATATTTTTCACTTTCAGTTCCCGTTCACTGGGCACTGGCCATGTGCCAGCCGCCACGGCAAGATGAATAAAGACTTCCCCTCTCCTCCAAGGAGCGCCACAGAGCACCTTCTCTCTGCAGAGCCTTTTGCTCACTGCTGAGTCTCCTCCAGACGGAGCCGTGAGCAGCAGACTGCCATCTCCTCTCTCACGGCAGGGGTCAAGGAGGAGGCTGCATTGCCATGATTAGTCTGCAGCACAGCACGGTGAGCCCTTAATTCACTGTCAGCCCTAGAGCACAACTTTGAGAACTAGGAGACAACACCACTCAGCGACGGCTCCTCCTCCTGGCACTCCACCCGCCACCTCCCGCACGTGCAAAGACCACCCTTGTGGGGAGGACCAAAGCCCCTCGGCCTCCCCTGAGCCTTGGAGAGCCTCTAACGCGCCCCTGGCCTCTGGAGACGCAGGCTTGAAGATCGGCAAGACACAAAGTCCCTGCGTGGGGACTAGGGTGCCGGCCAAGCTCAGCGGGACAGAACCACAGTGGACAGGAGTACTTTGTTAGGCATCTTCAGCTGCACGAGGCATTGCTCAGGAAACACTGCATCTGGTAAAAATGTTAAATAGATTTGATACATACATATGTAGACACATACAGATTTTAATATTAAAAATGAATCTCAAGCAAGGGTTATGGCAGGGAGAAGAATCCTGGAACCCAAGAGCAGACCCCCAAGAGCTCGGCCTGCGCAAGGCCTCCCAGGTGAGAAGGTGAGGCACGGGCTGGCCAGGCTCTGAAAGGCTCGCCCTCCTGCTGGAGACGGGCTAGCCGGGGCAAGCGGAGCTAGCTGGGAGCAGCGTCACGCCCTCAGCCTCTGCTGCGCGCTCCCTGCTCTCTCTGTCTCTCTCTCCTCACCTCCCGGGGAAGATGGCAAGGCCCCAGAGGATGGCAGCACTGCCAGAAGGAGGAAGCCAGACCCCTGATCGCCAGGTGGAACACTGTCCTCCAAACACCCGGCTGAATGCGCCAGGGACAAGAACTAAACGTTGCTGGTTTATCACATTTCTGCGGGACGCGCTTGCACAGCTAAGGTGCTTAAAGAGACCACTGTGGGAGGTGAAGGGGCCTCTGGGAGAGACAGGTCCCGAGATACCAGCCATGATATCCCTAAACGAAGACCCTGCCCTTGGGAAGTGGGGACAGTGTTTCAGAGAAGGCCCAGTGGCCACGGAGGATGGCAAGGCCTGCACACCTGCTGAGCCAGCGGTCACTTGTCGGTGGGGAGAAATGGATCGAAAGGCAGTGTTGAGTGGGACACTCTGACACTTTCTAGTAAAAAATCACTGGGAATGGATTCGGACATCCTCTGATTAGCACATCCTCCAAAGCTGAGAGAGGCAGACAACATTTTGGAGGTCTAAGAAAGGCCTGCAAAAATTCAGAGAGGAACCTTCGAAGCTGAGTTGCCGTAGTAAAACAGTAGTATTGGAGAACGGTAGCAGAGCGAGGGAGGGGCCTCCAACATAAACCCAGCAGCATCTGCAATGGCCCAAGCCCAGCAGAGGCTGCTAGGGAGACAGCCGCAGGCAGAGGTGCACCCGGACCCCCGGCCCTGGGAGGGGACTTGGGAGAGGGAAAGCAGAGAGACCCTATGCAGCTACTTCGCCAGTGCCACTGCCTGCCAGGGAATCTGGAGACAGCAGTGTAATTCTGTGGGAGATGAAACTGGAAAATTCTACCATTCTGCTGGGAGACAGTTTAGCAGCCCCATGAGATAAAAGACCCGGGCAGTCCCACACTGTTTCATCCCATAATCATTTGGATAATGACCTGTACTTACCATGTACACCAACACTGCTGCTTCCATTATTTCTCCTTTGGTTTATGCATGTTAGCAAACACTTTGTAAGATCTTGAAACTCTAAGCCCTTCCCCTCCCTGCTGCAAATCCTGCCCCGACACAGGGGCCAGCGCCACCCTGTTTGACTTACACGCATCAGGTCCTCACTGGCTGAAGATTCCACAGCCCCTTCACTGTCCCAATTCTGTCTCCCTTTGACCATAGGAGACAATCGGAGGCCCAGGTGGAAATGTCTGCCATTGATTTCCAAGGTCACTTTCAATCTTAAGACCTCATAACTCTGAATCCTCATGTGGCTTTTAACCCTATCACCCCCCAACCCCTGCTCCCACCCCAACCCTTCCATGCAGTTTGGATGGTTTTCTACAATGAGCAAGACTAGAGCAGGACTCCTGGACAGACCACAGTTGTTGCCAGATGTACTCTACCATGCAAATTTATTCAATGGATGGATGAGGGAATGAATGGCAGGAAAACAATTATTTGGAAGAGTGAAAAAATATCTGTCCTACACTAAAAATTCCCTGTCACATTGCACGGAGGACAAATCCTACGCAGGGACTTCTTGCTGAGCAGGATGACAGGTGAACCCACATGAGAGAGGAACAGCCCAAAGAGAGTCAACACGAAACAAGAGCCGGGGGTGCCGGCGCTGGATGCAGGACCAGGAAGGGGAGGGTCGGTGCGATGGGAGGGGAAGGGCAGAGGGAGACCATGCGAGCTGTGCCTGGTCTCATGCAAGTGACAGGGGAGGCAGAGAGCCCTGTGGGAACGGC